AGACCAACTATTCTACGTCAGAAAAAGAATACCTCACAGTCGTGTGGGCGACGACCAATTTTCGGCCTTACCTTTACGGTCGTCCCTTCAAAGTGGTGACTGACCACCACTCGCTCTGCTGGCTGGCAAATCTCAGAGATCCATCCGGCCGTCTTGCACGGTGGAGTTTGCGTTTGCAGGAGTTCGATATTACGATTGTGTACAGGTCAGGGCGCGAACAGGAAGACGCCGACGCACTTTCTCGAGCGCCTGTGGGGAACGCTTTCAGGGGCTCCGAAGATGAAGATGCCTTTCTCGGAGCAGTTAGCGACTCCGAATTTATGTCAAAGCAGCAGGCAGACGACGAATTACGCCCAGTCATTGATTCCCTGGAAGGCCGCAACTCTCAGGTCCCTCAACACATTGCTTGCGAACTGTCCTCTTTTTGTCTAAGAAGAGGCATTCTTTACAAGAAAAATGCCTGTGGTAGCAACAAAGCCTTCCTACTCGTTGTTCCTACCGACATGCGTGACGAGATCCTCCTTGCGTGCCATGATGAGCCCACGTCAGGACATTTGGGCTATTCGCGAACTCTCGCCAGAGAACGCCAACAGTATTACTGGCCGCGACTATCAACTAGTGTACATCGATATGTGAAAGGCTGCCGTGAGTGCCAGCGCCACAAGACTCCGCCTGTGAGACCCGCGGGCCTGCTCCAGACGATCGCACCACCGCGGACACCGTTTGACCTCGTGGGAATGGACCTTCTCGGGCCCTTCCCTTTGTCGTCCTCTGGGAACGAATGGATTATAGTTGCGACAGATTATCTTACTCATTATGCTGAAACAAAAGCGTTACCCTGGGGCACGGCATCTGAAGTCGCGCTGTTCTTCGTGCACCAAATCGTCCTACGGCATGGTGCCTCGTCATGTGTGATTACAGACAGAGGGACGTCATTTACAGCACGAATGATGGAGGACATTTTTAAACTGAGCTGCACAAGTCATCGAAAAACAACGGCTTATCACCCGCAATTAAATGGACTGACAGAGAGGCTTAACAAGACCATAGCGGACATGCTGTCAATGTACGTGGACGTACAACACAAAACCTGGGACGAGATTCTTCCATACATCACATTTGCTTACAATACGGCAACGCAAGAAACAACGCGATTTCCACCTTTCCGACTTGTTTACGGACGCAACGTGCGAACCATGCTCAATGTTATGCTTCCGTGTGACCAAAGCAATGAACTTGCTCAAGACGCTGAGCAATACACTCAATACGCCGAAGAAGCTCGTCAGCTAGCTCGCATAAACACCAGTCACCAACAAGATGCAGACGCACGCCGTTACAACCTCCGTCATCGAAATGTCACCTACCACCCTGGGGACCGAGTGTGGGTGTGGATCCCTGTCCGGCGACCAGGATTATCTGAAAAACTCCTAAGCCGTTATTTTGGACCGTACAAGGTTCTTAGACGAGCACAGATGTTACCTACGAGGTATTTCCGGACGACGCAGCGTCTTCTCGTCGACAGTTTCTGCCCAAAACCGTGCATGTCGTTCGGCTGAAGCCCTACTTCACACAGTAGCCCTTGTGGTTTCACATGCTACGACATGCCGTGACTTTGCGTTGCTGCTGCTGTTTGTGTTCTCCTGTGCTTTTATGCCTTTTCTTTTTGCGCTTGGCGCAAGCGTTGACGAAACTTCCTCATTTGCGCTGCGAGTACTGGCACTCTCCCTCTTTTGGTTCTCTATATCTGCGTGTCTATGCCTTCATTTTTTTTTTTTTACGAGCATCGAGTCGATGCTTTCAAAGGGGGGGGACTATTGCCACATGGTTTGCTTGGGTGAGATCGAAGAGTGAAAGAGGACAAAGACGATCTCTCTGAGCCGCTGCTTGGCTAGTCGACTCAACGAGCCCATTGTATCAAGTTTGTCGTGAGTAACGTGACAATATTGTAGCCCTAGAATTCCACATGATTACTGTAAAAAATGTTCTTGAAGTATGGGTTATCTATGGCAACTTTACGACTAATAACAATGCTGTATATTTTTATGATTTGATATCTTGAGAAGCCTCATTATAAGCGAAAAGTTAGCACAAGTCGTCTACTCGCCATATTAGCACCCACTAATGTACATTTAAAAAATTAGAAGAGTGGCACAACAAAAATAAAAAACTAAAAGACAAGAATAAATTTGAAAAAAAAAAAAGCTAGAAATTTGGGTACCCCTGAGCTATGCCTTTAGAGGGCCACTCACCAGGTTTGACAATTTTGAGCTGACAAGCGCAATCTGTATATGAGGTGTTCATGATCCCAACTGCCAAAATTTACAACGCTACGCGTCGTGGAAATGGGTCAAATTTCGAAATGAACACTGCTCCCCCTTATTTTTGCGAGCACATGCCCAGAGAATGAGGGCATGACGTGTGCGTATTAATTACCCTACCTACACGACAATGCAGTGACGCTGGTCCTCTACGTAGACGACTATGCTCTGACGTTGCCAACAGTGGCACATGACATGACAAAAATGATTTAACACGACATGCGTAGTTTATGAATTTGTTGCTTGAAGAGATTAATAAATCTCTAAATAAACAATGAGATGCAATAAAGAAATGTGAGCATTCTTTTTTCCCTCGTGAATTTCAGTGAGATGCGGGGCTAATGTACCGGGGTTTCACATGGGTTCGTGTCCCTGCGGTTCCGCGGTCATCACATCGAGCATACGACAGTCGTGGAAGGCTCCTACGCGTTCGCACACTCATTGTGCTTATTTATTCTATCACGTCTAAGCCAGCGTTAAAAAACCATCTCGCAGAAACAGGCAGCAGACCTCAAAGCAACGCTGGTCAAAAAAAGAAAAAAAAAACGCCGCCCGCGTGCATGGGGTCGGGCTTGTTCGGGCACGTCATGCGCACGTCTCCTCTTCGTCGGATGCCTGAGAGGCTAGGGAAGAGATTTGGCTTGCGAAGGCTACGCAGAAAAGTGGCAAAAGTTTTGAGCTTGCCTCCTCTCATCCTCGTTTCGCGCCGCTTCAAAAAAAAAGTTTTCTCAGCGCCTAATGAACCGATCCAAAAAATTTTGGGGCAGAATGTTTCTCAACGGACACCCAACAACTACCACGGTCTAACTAAAATTTGGTATGGGGCCTGGTGAGTGGCCATTTAAGAGGTGAATGCGATGGAAATATGTGCTCGCACTGGCACACACACTTGCACATACAAACACTACAGCGATCGATAACGCTAGCCTGCCTTCGCTTCTTGGTGAAGACCTAAAACTGTGCCACAAGGAAAGACAGAGTTCACCATCACCTACTATCTTTATTCACATCTACTTCGAGTTATCGCTCACTGCTTTTTTGCTCACAACCAAAGACCCCGACACTGGAATCTCTGCAAAATGAGCTTTCAACGCTATCGCTGATGATTCCACAGGGGCTGAACCCAAGGCCTCTAGCATAAAAGCCCGATACCATAATTATAACATCGTGCATCGGGCATATACGTGATTGGTCGAACACCAAGCAAGATATAGGGTTCAGATGCTTGTTGCATCATGTCTGCATCTCGAGCTGCAATGATTTACGCAATGCTTCACTGGTTGGGGTGATGTTGAGGCTTGCAGATGGCTTATCATAATTCAGTTGCAATGCTTATGCCTTCTAAGTTACTTCGCCGGTGATGAACCACTCATATTTTTTTTTTTTTAAAGAAACCGACGGCTTATCTTTCCCAGCCCAGTTCTTTTGGATGCGACAGAAAGCTTACCCTTTGTAGTCTTTGTAGCTGCAGTAGTTAGTCCCAAAAGCATGTGGTTATTTTATATGCATAATTCTTCGATCTGAAAGGCTCCAAACAAGAATGAGCTCTTTCATCCAGCAACACTGAGAATCGATCGCGATGCCTGTAGTCCTTTAAGCGACTTGTGCATGCTGTCGTTCTGCTTTCACAGGAGTTTCTCTAACTATGCCTAACCATGTTCATTCTGAGCTTTACAACTATTTTTGAAAATAACACAAATTATGAGACAATGTGGCTTCATACAGCTTCTCTGTATTTGTACCGCATTGCGTGCACCTGCGCCCAAGGTTGCTGCGCCTGTGTCATGGATGGCTTGTTGCATCGTTACTCTCTCAACACACGAACGAAGCCAAGTCACCAAAAACATCACTGCGCATATGTGTGGCCGTGCCAAATAGCAGTACACATAATTTCTGAGACAATTTGTAAGTGAAAAAACCAGGTTCCTCCAAAATCTTAGCGACCCGGAAACTGCATACATGGTTTCATGAGCATGCTAAAAAGTTGCTCAAGATGCGCTGACAAGCAAGGGATTGATTTTGTTGATGTGTGGGGTTTAACATTCCAAAACCACCATGTGATTATGAAAGACGCCGTAGTGGAGGGCTCCGGAAATTTTGACCACCTGGCGGTCTTTAACGTGCACCCAAATCTGAGCACACTGACCTACAGCATTTCCGCCTCCATCGAAAATGCAGCCACCGCAGCTGGAATTCGATCCCGCGAACTACGGGTCAGCAGACGAGTACCTTAGCCACCAGACCAACGCGGGGGTGCAACGAGCAATGAATCACGTCATGCGAAGGCAGCCCCACTTTAACGCGTACTACTAGCGCAGGCCTATATGTACATTTTTATGGAGTATTATTGTTCACTGTGAAGAAGCAAACAATATTTCAATGCTAACAAGAAAATTGTTGACTAGGTACACTAGTCTACGGTCACATGACAGGGCAGATCAGATAATTGAATTGTTTGCCACCAGGTGGCGCCACAGGCTATTTTGCGATTTTTTTTTCAATGAAGAAATAAAAACATAACTCCACTTCTCCCGAGAAAAACAGGGTTGGTTTGAGTCACTAATAGGGACAATCTTCTAACCTGTGAAGTCATCTCATTTCGTGTTCTGGCCAGTTGTCAGTCCCTTTAAACCGAAAACTACAGCATGAATAAATCCCAACCCCAAAATCAGCTTTCCCTACCTTGTTGGCTCTGTCACAGCTGCCTCCTCTTGAATGGATTCTGTTGTTGGTGGCGCCTCCACACATACTTCTTCAGATACCTCCTCCTCTATAGAGGCACCTTCAGGATATGTTGAACTTCTCACCACACCATTATTTTTAGATATGGAAGTTGGCGTATCTGCTAGGAATGGAGCTGATGTGATCGATGAGTCCGATTTGCATTCATGAAACACAGAAGTATGCAAAAAGAAGAAAGACTGTGAATGTCCAATCACTTTCAGATTCTGGTTTGCTAACATCTCATTTCAAAGATATTTAGGGTAATTCTTGAGCCAATACCTTCAGTAAGTTGTGAGCCTTATTTATACTGTAGATGCTGTAAATATTACACACTGAAGCTATGAGGTTCTGCTCTTTACAGTTTCAATGACACTAAAGGCAGGATACCCTTTAGTGCAAGGCTAAGCAATGAATTATATATGATCCAGGCATTGCAGTGTTCCAATTCGTACATTAACTGGATAACACATATACACATATTTTGTATGTTTTATTGAAATGTTTCTTATAGGCAACCAATTTTTTTTTGCCTTCCAAGAGAGGTCAGTTTCGCCATGTCAGCTGAACTACACAGAGATGAATATAACTTGCATTTCAAATTGTCCAACTCGATTAACAAAACAAGTTTACTAATTATAAAACCTTTTTGCCTTCCCAGATCAAATGAACAGTAACGGCTAGGTAAAAAAAATAATAATTTTGTGAAGAGCCCAATGCTGGCCCTACACAAAAGTTTTTCACCTGCATTCAAAACATACTAACACCTCCCCTCCCCTCACCCAGGATTCATGGATAAATAGGCGTGCATTTTCTGCCGCTGAGAACTTTCACCCGGTGATTGTGTCAACACTCACCCTGGGGTGGAGTTTTTGCACCACGTGCCCGAAGCCTGGCAAGGGCTCTGCGCTCAAGGGCACGTACACTTGCTTCTTCTGCATTGAGCTTTTTTTGCCACTCGAGCAATTTCTGTACGTTCTTCCGCCGGTCTTGCAACTTCTGCTGTCGCTTTTCCAGGAACCTACACGCATGTTGTATTCACTTCACAGTCACAATTTTCACATACTTGCAGAAAGAAAGAAAAAAAATCAAAAAAAAGCAAAGCAAGCGTTGGCAAGGACAACACTTTACTCTGATGTAGTTTTATATTATGGTGCAACTGCGGCACTATAAACTAAGAAAATTATGATACAGCGGCTGTCAACAATCAATTCACAATTCTCGTTAGCCATTGACAGGTCAAGAATTCAGCAGAAAATGAATCACAAATAGAATATATACAGTCGGGTTCACTGTTACAAAGAACACGTTCGTGCACACCATGTTAGGATCCCTCTCTCGCGCAAAGGCATAGTGGCTTAGATCCACATGATACTACCAGTGATTGGTAGTTTTGGCTTCTTTTGACAGACTGGTGCCGTGCATAAACATTGTTATCCTATCCACTTGCTACTAGAAGGCTGGCAATATGAAGAACGGTGCTCACTGTAGTGTTCCCTTTAACAATGAACGGTACTGTACATACACACCCCAGAAGATCTGCTTCAGCCTTATCTCCCTCCCCTCCACTATTTTTTGCATCCAAACCTGTGCCTTCATCCATGTCGCTGCCTATACAAGGAAAAAATCCTTCATTCTAGTGAAGCTCCTCACATTGCTTGCAGAGCCTTTCATAGATGAGACTAATGAAATACAGGAGTCTGTGCTCTAACAGAGGAGCAAACACCTCTTTATTCTTCAAACATCTGTTTAATCTTGTTGATTTTGAAACAAAGATTACATATCTACCACCACTCAAGCTTCCTCTTATGCTGCACCTTTGTCATTTTTTACAAGCACATATTTTAATATACTCCAGGACTTGAGATGAAAAGTTCTAGCATGTAAAAGTGCTGATCAAGTAGCATAATTCAATGTGTTTTTGTAGCTTTCATTTACACACAAAAACTAGCTTGAATACACTCACTGATTAAACTAGCTTTGCACAACATTCTAACAGTGTCTTCTTGAATAATAACTGCATTGCCTTGTTGAATTTGGCGGCGCTTTTGAACCTTTCTCATAGAAATACCAAGCAAAGTATTAGTAAATAAAAACACAGTCCATACTTCCAACAATGTTCCCTTGTGTAAAATCTGTGGACATCTATTTTTTGAGGAAATTGATAAAATGCCTGCCTGATGGGAACTTCAGTACAGTCAACAAATGATTATTATACACTCAATAATTTGAATGCTTTCATGGCGCTTGCATATATTCTCGAGACTCCCAACAAATATGGATGTCTGAAATTTCAGATGCCAAAGACATTCATCATCAAATTATTTGGACATTATACCATGACTGCAAGTTCTAAATGGCATTAATCAAAACTATCACCACTGTTATACTACATAGAACCTGAACCAGCACTCTCGCTCTCTGATCAACTGACAGCCACAGGGGTCTCGGTAGTCAGCTTTGTATTAGCATTATGCAATGAAGCATACATAACATTGCAGTAAAGCCCGCAAATAATGGAAAGGGGCCATCAAGGGACATGATGCATTCTTTATTTGCGCATGGGTGCACCTGCCGTTTCCTGTAAACATTACAAGCACTCAAAAAATTTAAGTGTACTCGCAATCCTTCAGAGCTACTTCAGATGTGGCCACTACTGCAGGTGTCTCCCTTTGTTTCACACCTCAATCTTCTTAAGAGCGCATATTTTAATAACACCGAAATGTGTGACGGGCCCAATCAGTTTATTTGCAGCAGCTTCTAGAAACTCAAAAACAAATGAAGTTCACACAACACTGCAAGGAGAAATACAACAATGAGGTTAATAAAATTGCACTTACCGCTTACTGGCATTGAGCTTTAAATGCGTCGAGTCTTCCGGGAGCTCTACAAACAGAATAAATGAAGTGTAAAACAAGTTTGAAATCCAGCAACCAAATTATTTTTTTATCTTATAATCTTCAAAACAGTGCCATAGTAACAACAACTAAATGAAATGAGAGAGGTACAGTATAGCGTAAGTGGCACCATGCTACTCATTAAAATATAACGAGACCAGACTACATAATGCACAAAGCACAATAGCAAGCACAAAGCACAATAACAAAACATGGCACTTGTCTTAAAATCACGGCTTCCTGCTGCAGCAGGGAAACTTGACTACAAGGTAGCAGAAATTATCTCGTCCGGCTACCTTGGAGAAATCAGTCATTCGCAGTAAGCAGTGCAGCTGGCGCTTACTTTGGGTCACCTGGCTTCGGCACTCGGCTATGGCCAGTAACACATCATGGTTTCCAATGTAAGTTTTCAATTCAGCGCACTCCTATGCCTAACGATAGTTCTTGGTTATACCACAAGCTCGTTTATGCTACCCAAAACTATTGGGAATAGTGTTCCACCACAAATACTTCACATGTGGAACATGCTAACGCTAAATCAAGCATTCTACCTTATACAGTCGAACCTCGTAACGTAGTAACATTGGGACCATAGGTTAATGTACCAGTAGAGATAAAGAACGGCTTAACAACTGGCAACCTGGCCCATACGAAAATCCTAGGCACAAGAACGTATTATTCTAAGTTTCAAACTCACTATGAATGAGGTAGCACCTACCGGTCTCCTTGTTGCACTTTAATATAAATAAACTGTAACATGAGAAGGTTAAATTACAAAAGAACAAAGTTTGACAATACAGGCCTCCGTTGTTCACCTTCGTTTCAAGAAGCACTCCTGAAACTAACAAGTTTTGCCCCCTTGTCTTTAAACGATAAAAAAGAAAGCTGCTTCCATGTCCATGCGATTTTCGGTTTCAGTTTTAAGTTTTGAGCCTTGTGTGAAGTAAATATTTCTTTATTACAGCCAATATTGCAATGGTGCTGGCATTTTCGTTTTTGTGATGATAATAATAAGATAAGGGTCACCGAAATGAAGAGTGACTAACCAAAGTTCATACCTATAACTTAATTCACAATAGTATCCAAGTTCATTATAACAAGACTCAACTTTACTAAACGTGCTCAAAAAGATACTGAATAAAAATCATAAAAAATGAACTTTGAAATTCCACCCAGAAGACGTGCCTGTTCTAATAAACAGTTTATTTCACATACAGTAGACTCTGAATAATTCAGACTCTCATAATTCATACTTTCGGTTATTTCAAGCAAAAATCAATTTTTCGGTTGGCCCTCTACTCTTTCAATGTATTTCAAAGCCTGTTTATTCAAACTCTATCATTAGATTATTTATACTTTTTGCAGTTCCATACAAAAAAAATATCTGCTGCTTTCCCACTCCTATTTAAAAATTAGCGTGCTTATATAATCCTAACAGCCTAAAAATGAAAAATAAGCACCTCAGGCTTTCAAGAAAAAAGACTTTGCTAGTTAACAAATGTTTGAGACAAAGTGTATGCATGGTAAACCGTGATGCTTCTCAACTGGTATAGAGAGCTTTGTTGAAGGCACATACCAATAGCAAAGAAGCAGTTGGCAATTCACTAGTTATTTAAAAGGTCTGATCAGCAGTAAATGGCCAATAAACTTGTCGACCTTACACCTTTGCTTTCTGTTCATTGCATACAGTTAGGGTTTAAAAATACTTAAAATTTTAAATGTGATAAAATCAATGCCTAATTATAATTTTTAATATCAACTCACCCAGAGTTATCTGAGAAATTCTAATAATTCAAACTTCTTGATAATTCAAACAAAATTCAGAGGTCCCCTTGAGTTTAAATTAATGAGAGTCGACTGTATTTTTTAGCATTCGTCTGTCATGAACATAGTCGGAATTTCTGGATGACTGTCGGCACAAGCGAAGCGGCGCATAAAGGATTGTAACTGCGGCGAATGCAGGGTGCGCGTTTTCCTATCCTGCTACTGCCCTTTTTTTCACTTCTCCTTCACATTCCACTCTCGCCTTCTGCAAAGGTGCTGAGACATGCCTCACCGTTAAGGAGCTTTGCCCCACCTGGAGGCATTGCTCACTGTCATTGCCATTCGTACTGGTACTAGGAAGCATAGTGGGGCAGACCAGGTTGAGAGACGCTGGCGTGGACTGACATTATAGACACACCTGTTTCCAAGGCCACTAAATGTTACCTCCTCTAGTTCACAGTACAGCTTCTAGACATGGCATTAGGAGAAGAAAAACAAATCCATTACTTTTTGACCGCTTCTACCTGAATAGAAACTTGTGTCTACTGATTTCAGCCCTAAATCTTTCAATTTGGTCAAAATTCTCCAGTGCCAAAAAATTTTGTTCACTATCTCTTTAAAACTGATGAAATTTTAGCATTACAATTTCCACAGAAGTGCAATGGCAGCCCTGTAAATCATGTCTTTAAAAATAACATGGGATGCCTTGAAAAAAATCGATGTGAAAAAAGTAATGATATGCTCCAAAAAAAAAAACATCGCACTGATGATAATGGACAAAGCTGAGACTTCTGAAAATTATGGAAGTGGCGGCCGCGAGCGTGCCAATCGGAGGTAGAGGAGAGTAACGACGATTGCAGGTGCGCTCATGGCATGCGGCAGCCGCTAGCAGTAGGCAGTTGCAGCTCGGTTTTCGATCAGTAAACATGATTTCTGTCAGTCCCTGCCTTTTCCCTGAGGGGTTCTTGGGCTACTCGCAGTCTCGAACCCCTACAAAATACAAATGGCTAATGTTAATACATTCATTGTAAAAGTGCTTCCTGAATTATTTCCATGCTTAAGGTCAACAATTCATACAAAGAAAGGTGTTATGAATGACTGATCATGTCAACAATGGTGTCAAATGCCCTAGACTTGAGCAGCCTGCTACTATAAGGACTGTTGTAGTCAAGAATTTCCTACTGAGGCTGCTAGAGAGAACTTTGCCTTTGCAATTTATTATTCAGCGACTGTGGGAATGATGGACAAAGCCCGGACTTTCCCCATCTTTGTGTCTGCAGGCTACGATACCTTAGTGGCTTTATTTATCAGGCTTTATAAAAGCTCACTTGCCTAAATTCCAAGGCCAATCCTATATTTCTAAATGGAGAAGGTAATTGCACACCTCACACTTGTATGATCACTGCAGATTAGTGCATTTCTAATGCAATATTTTTCTGAAGATCCGTTCTTGACAAAGTACAAAGATGTTTAAACAAGAAGAACAAATCGTAGACAGAACCACACAGCATTGACCATCCTTTGGAAGCTATTACCTGCCATACTTCCATCTGCTGTGTACATTATCTCCAGACTTTCTTCTGGTAACCTTTAGCTATTGTTGTGATCAGCAACTGGGCCGAAGGAAAGGTGGCGTCCCCTGTTCTTCGATCAAATAGCCGAGGAGCTGCTGGCCTGCTGAAAGCCATTCTAGCACGCGTATTGCCCTTCAGAGTCAGAAAATGAGGTGTGATGCACTCCGACGCCGAGAGGTATCCGACAAGACGACCACAATAATTTCAAGCCACGTCAAGTTTCTTGAAGAGACAGCGGCGTCAGTCCATATGACAATCTGTCCCGCTCATTGAACAGTGAAGTAGCTCAGGACGGCCAACCTTTCGATGCACCCATTTGTCCAGGTGTGGGACTCATCATCCTGCATCCTTCACATGTCAAGGAAGATCACCTTGGTGCCACAGGAGCAGTGGCCATGCCCAAGTCAAGGACGTTGACCTGGGCTGTTATGGGTGGCACCCTCAAAAGTGGTGTGTGTCCTGTGTTGGGACAACAGCACAATTGCAGCTATTCCCTCATCTACAAATCTGGTGAAAAGAGACTCTTTATAAACAGCCTTCGCGGGCTCAGACAGGGCGAGATTGTCACGTAACACGAGATCGTCATGATGTAGCGAAATGTTCTTGTAAAACAAAATGCTTGCCATATAAATATTATTAATGTGTTTCAACCTCCTAAAGGTTTCCCTTCAGTTTCTTCATGTTGCCTCAGCGTCTTCCTCCTGAGTCTTCGATGCTTGGAACGGCCGCTTGAAACACTATGGCTGCAGAGGAGCTCTCCAGATTCGATTATGTGGGGTTCCTTAGCAAGCACACAAAGCATGGTAAATTGCCTTTGGGTATAACATCGGGAAATTTTATTCATACACTGAAATGTGCCAGCCAAGGCAAGGAATCAAACAAACCATATTGAGCAAAGTGGCACTAACAATGGCCAGCGAGCCACCTTAGTGAGTATATGACAGCATAAAAGATGGCTTTGTTGAAAATAAGATTCAAGAAGATAGATTTGTATGTGATATTTGCTCACATAATAATTATTCTATGCCACCTATTTGTGTACAAACATATGTAACCCCTTGTTTTATTGAAAGTGTGCCTACTTAGGTAAGGGGTCATAGAACTTATGATCACATCAACTATGGATATAAAATTGAAACAGCACCTGCAACACAGTAAAAGTTAATTTACTTTTGGTTTAAAAACTAAATTCTGGAATTTTTCACTCTACAACAACAAGTTCATTATAAAACACAAATTAATTTCAACTATCTTGAAGGGGTTTTTAACATAAATCTCACTCTAAATGTACACATGTATTTTTACATTTTGTCCTAAACAAAATTCTGCTGGCATGGCCAGGATCAAATTTGCGACCTCCAGCTAAGCAACGGTTTTCCATGTATTGAGCTTCTGGAGCAGGGCTTCCTTTGGTTCAATAAATGCACACTGAAGTAAAATACAATCAAGAAAGATTACCCATTTCACTGCACTTTGCAAATATAGCATATTCGTCCCAAAGCAAAGTAGCAATTCAGTATGCTTCAAGGTAATGAGAAAGGGCTTGTTTCTTGTTTGCTTATTGGGCAAGAGAAAAATTGGAATGCATTCAAAAAAGAAAAAAAGCGAATAACCTGGGCACCTTCAAAAGTGATTTCTGGAAAAAAATAATGTAATAAGTTGGAAAGAGAACATCAAGAGTGGTGCCACCACTTCCACAGAGCTGCTGTGACTAAATAAACGATGGCTCTAAATTCAATGGAAATAAGAGTAAAGGAAACAAATGACCACTCTAGCCCTTGAGTAAGGCTCATTACATTTTATGGGGCTTATCAATTAGAGTGCCATAAATTCAGTCATATATTTAAGTCATCAACAATTTACAGCATTGCCTTCAAAGCAATCTACCATAAAAAATGCATAAAAAGTAATTTCTAGAAAATGACACATTCTTATAGTTACTGCCGACTAAAATGTACATCCCCACCATTAAGAGCCATAATCCTTACCTGGTAATGTGCTACTGCTCTCAAATGTTGAAACATAGCTGTCGACTACTGATGACTTCTGTTCAATCTGCACCTGTCAAAAAGTGGACACAAGAAAGCAGATGAACGAAGTGGTTGAGACCAAAGCACTCAAGCTATTTAGCTTGACAGTGGCACAAAAGCAAACAACTGCTTTATTTTCTTGGTGCACTAAAATGAACGACATATTCTAATCCAGCATGACGTATTTAAGCAAATACAACATCCATTGAAAACTAATTTGCAAAAGCCTAGTGCAATTTAAAAAAAATCTTGAAATTTTTGGAGATCATTGTGTCAATATTTCATTATAAAAATTGTTTTTTTTTTGTTCTTTGTGCTGTCCAGATCCCCAATGAGCACTTCCATATCCACTCACGCATGACGAACAAGTCCATCAACACATTTTATTAACAGTTATGGAAATGTTACATGATGAAAACATTTGGTTATCGTGAAAGGTAATTATGCAGAAGTCGAACGCAATGCTCAATATAGCAAGTGAAAAAAAAAATTCGATTAGGCAAGACCATAAAATCCACACGAGTATATTTATCTAGGTCAATTACTAAAAAGAAAGCTGACTTATGCAAACGAAATTACCCAAAGTACAAGGAATGGAGCACATATGGCAGGCATCTCCAAATCATCACAATATGGCTTATCACTGTCCTTGAAGTGAAAAGTGTACAATTATTGCATTTTGCCAGTACTAACATGCGAGACAGAAATCTGGAGAATGAACTCGAGAAGTTAAGGACTGTGCAGTATGTAACAGAATGAAAACTTGTAGGAGTGACTTTAGAAGACGGCAAGACAGCAGAGTGAATTGTGGAGAAAACAGGAGTAGCTGATCTACTGGCTGACATAAAAAGAAAAGAAAATTATGGTCAATTCCCTCTTCCACATAAAATTTTATCAACAAAACCGTGAAAAATGTTTTCATAACATAAATTGAAGCTCTGTTTGATGTTAAGAAGTACAATTTGCACAGTGTTTTGCTATTAAGCTAGCATGGCAGCCTTTACGAGGAAGGACGCACCGATGATGACCCCTGCCAGTGGATGTCTACTGGCAACCCTAGTACTGCTTGTTTGGTTTCCTTTCCTGTCCCTACTTTTTATGTCGATAGTCAATATGCTAGCCAAAGATGCAGCCTTAGCAACATAACCACTCGTCAAGCCTTGCATGACATGCACAACCCATAATGTCCTTCCAGGTGCGCTGCTGTAAGTCAAGATCAAGGATTACTAACTTACGTGAACTACAGTTCTATTGAGTTTATTTTTCATTCCCTGCACTCACTTCAAATGGTATAAATAACTATTATTACTACAATAAAAACTCGATTTACGAAACCTGATTTTATTAATTTCCTGATCTAACAAAGATACTTCAATTCTCCTGTAGATGACTATAAGGCTCGATGTTATCGTCAAATTAATAAAGCTATTATAGCACTAAACTCAATTCAACAAAGTAACAAAGTTTTTCTAGAAGTAGAGGAGTAAAAAATTCTGCAAATTCTCTCTAATTTTGTTCCAGATGAGCTTTTTCATGCATGAGCTATAACAATATGACATTAAAACATCAAGTCCCCTTAGTCAGAAACCTACTTTTATTTTTATGAGGCTGCGTGCCATCCTCGTGCACAGAGCAATGGACTAAATAGTTGGTAGCGCATATATGTACCGAATGGCACCAATGACCAGTGGTGGTTGATCTTTCCTACAAATGCTTTCACAGAAGCATGATGGTTCCTTTCTTTATAAAATGGTTTATGTGACAGATGGCACTGGTTAGAGAACTGCACGAGCCCGGGCCAGGTAAGGCATTGTTGGATCGGCCCCAGGCCAGAGTCAGGTCCGTATAAGGCCCGCGTCTCCTATACAGAGTAAATATGTCCTATATTATTTAAAAATTACAGAAAGAGGCATCTGTATGCTACCTGCAGTATTCCCTTTACTTTGACTGAAGGTATCTTCAGATGTGTATAAATAGTGATTGTGGCAGTAATTAAAGAAATAAATTTAAACAATTAACACTTTACATAATTGAAGACAAGATTTCATTGAGAGTGTTTTCGAAGTGAATGCTAGATACGCTCTTTGGTGCTTCGGTTTCAGTTTCCTCAGCTAAATTAGCCAAATTTCGTCACTTCACGACTATCACCAGTGGCTGCCTTTCCTAAATTTTGAAGTGGCTATAGACTATTGGTAGAAAGAACTTTATTCCCGCATTTCACTCGACCGGCTGTTACCACTGGTTATAAAGTTAACTGTTTAATTTTTATAATTACGGTCATAATTGCATATGAAGATGCCTTCTGTCAAAGTAAAGGAAACACGACAGGTAGGACGCAAATCCCTCCTTTTTGTAAGTTTTAAATACTATTGGATTCATTTCTAGAAATATAATGGCATATAATGGAATGCCTATGCTGTTTGGTTTTGTTGTTTTGTCGGGTTTAACATCTTGAAGCGACCCAGGTTACGTAACATGCCGTAGTTGAGGGCATCGGCTAAGTTAGACCACCTGAAGTGCATTACAATGCACTAAAAAAGGAAAGTACAAGACGTCTAGAATTTCGCTCTATCAGTATATGCTACACGCAATAATATGTTTCAACCATTGTATCGAGTGAAAGACGCTCTTGCATACCGTAAGGAAAGGTTTGCCAGCTGGTACCCCTGCAACAAGCAACGGTACTCTGCTAATGTCATAGAATTTAGACAAGATGTTCGCACTTGTATATAGAGAAGAATCTATGCAGATATGGTCACATGCCCACCCATGGCATTTTCCGCCTGCGTGCTCCGTAGACACGTTAACGTCACTGGTGAGACATGAACAGACAGTTATAGTTTACGGTTAACGTGATAGCGGAGGTTGAGGGAATGGCGTTACCGTGCAATAAACGTCCATTGTGGACAGCATCTTATAGTTTAGAGGAATAGCGTTTACTTGGTTTAAGTGTCCCAGCTGGGATGGTGGCGCTACCTATCGGATGGTTAATAAGTCAAGACAGTGAAAAGGAAAAGAAAACGAGAATGTTTGCCTATGCCACCACGTGAAGCATTTTTACAAGTTTGTTTTGCTAATAATAAAAGCAAATAAATATGAAACACGCATCAAACGCGAAAAAAAATTATTGGCCGATTTGTTTACATCGATCTTGCAATTAGGTCTAGACGCATTCGAAATGGGAAGCTATCTCAAAAACTACGCCAACTTATCCGTAATACTCAGTCATCAAAGCTAACTGAAGGCAAGCGAAGCCACTTTAAACAGTCCTTTGCTGCGAACAAGGTGAGTCTTTCAACTCGAAGCGGGCGTCCGAGAGCACTGCCATTTTTACGTACACCACGTACACTTACGCTACCACGGTAACCTTAAATCTGAAAAGTACCGCGCATACGGTAAGAGGAGCTGGTAACGTACGTATCTGCGCATGTGCACTTCGATTCCGGTATCACAGTATGCCCAGTACCCCGGTAAGCCCGGTATACTATAACTGTCTAATATCTTCGGAGCTGTTGTTGGTGCCCTTTAAGTGCGAGATGCGAAGTGACTTATCATAGGTGTGCCAATCGATGGAAATGTTGCAGATTTTTTGTTCTAGCAAGGCAGTTGAAAATAGTCAGCACTTAGCAATTAGCCAAAAATATTTAGCCTTTAACTGGAATGCCCATCATAGAGAACAGGCTTTTGCTTATTTTTATGGCCATCTGATCGTTTCTCGTATTTCGAAAGTAATTCTTAAGCGTCCTAATTTGTCGAAGCGCAAGTGTTCTCATGGCACTCAAAAACGTGGAAGCACTCCCACAAATAAAGTAAGAGCCCTATTCGAAACTTTATCAAATGCTTCATGTGCTGGCAACACTGGTAAAAAAATATGGCTGTGCTTAACAGGGTAAATGCGGCATCTTCACTTGGCGCTGTGCTGAAGTTTATTGATTGTGGCATCGGATTGCGTTCCTTCGTCGAAGGCGAAAAGTAGCTTCTTGCAGACTGCCTCTTTCTCATCGACATGAAGGATTTCACTGGCGAAACAGCGGAAATAGTGGCGCTATGCATGCAAACATTGAGCCTCTTCGGTGAACTGCTTAAGATTTACTTTCAGTTGAAGAACCTGTCTAGCGAGCCCGAGGTTGAAGAAGGCAACTGCTCGTCCGCCGCAGGGGTGTAGCTGTTAGGTGCTCGGTTGCTGACCCAAAGTCGCGGGTTCGACCTTAGCCGTGGCAGTCTCATTTCGATGGAGGCGAAATGGTAGCGGCCCGTGTACTGTGCGATGTCAGTGCACAATAAAGAACACCAGATGGTCAAAATTTCTGTAGCCCTCCACTACGGTGTCTCTCAAAATCATATAGTGGTTTTGGGACATTAAACCCCACATATTATTAGAAAGCACTTGCCCATGTGTAGCAGGCCTCTCCGAAATGTGCTAGCACTTTTGCATTGCGTTGCTACACTGCTACAGTACTCTGCGGCTCGTGCTGCCAATTGAATGCATGCCATTGAGTTCTGTTGTCCCGTCAAAGGCTGAATACGCATGCCGTTCACTCAGTTATAAAACAGAGCTATGCCTGGGACAGTGTATCTTAAGAAAACTCAAATGATAGTTTCTATTGTAATAAGAGTGCTCCTTTCCTTTCATTTGCAATAAAGTTATGAAGTTTCTAATGAATGAGGTGATGTGCTTCCAAAAACTTGCTTGTTCGTGTAAGCAGTAGTTGATATTCAAAGCAGATATACGCACGAACATTACGCACGCTATAAATTCACAAACGTGGTATTGTCACGAGGTCACGAGTTCGAAGAATGGAAGAGAGTATAGGTTGAAGATGAAACTTTGCCCTGCCGCGGTGGTCTAGTGACTAAGGTATACTCAGCTGCTGACCCGCAGGTCGCTGGATCAAATCCCGGCTGCGGCGGCTGCATTTTCGAGAGAGACGAAAATGTTGTAGGCCTGTGTGCTCAGATTTGGGTGCACATTAGAAAATCCCAGGTGGTCGTAATTTGCAGAACCCTCTACTACGGCATCTTTCATAATCA